GTTGGTTAGCCACCACCATTTTCTCCACCTGTATCTGGAAGTCCCACAGGATCTTAGCTTGGTCAGTCTCCACCAATCTTGGGGCATCTCACATTTTGACCTCAGGACTTCCAGGCCATATTCGACACAGATGTTTCTGTATACTATGCACTTGGTTATGGCGTTCCATGTATGCCCTGCCTGCTAGCAAACATTTGCAAACACACATGGAAATACTGTATAAAGTAATACATAAAGTTTAGCTGACTCTGTCAGGTTTGCAATTCTAACAAGCTTGAAAGTCAGTTGAACATTATTCTTCATCACACTGTGGCGCTCAACTAACATGCCAAGTCCTGGGGAGGCCAATCCATGACTAAAGTAACATCTTTAGTGTGTGTTTTTCTATCTCGCATACCTTTGACTCCATTGCCATTGTGTTTGCTGTGTCATGCTGAAAAATGAAGCCATTACCAATCTGCTTTCCACATGGAATTGCATGGTGTATCAAAATCTAATGGTACATTTCTGTGTTCACAATTCCATCAGTTTTAACAAGATCTCCAACACCATTGACTGAAATGCAGCCTCACAATTTCATCACTACATCAGACCTGCCACTCATTTTCAGTCCAGTTCTGGGTAATCTGGGTAAGCTTCTTGACTCCCACTTAGACTATTTCAGATGGGATTTCATTGAAGAGTAGATGGATCCGCTGAAGGGCCAGATGCAATGCATAGACATTCTTGGAAGCAAAATAAAACAAAATGAGATGTGACTATAGACGTTTATACAATATTGTACAGAAGAAAATAACTAGAAACTAACAGATTTTAATTGTATTGTTTATTTTCATTTTACTTTATGCGCATAGGTCTTCTGGATTGGCTTTTTACAAATCAAAACAAAAACCCTTTGAAGCGCCAGTTCCAAAATATTTTACTTTGAAAAGTTATTATTGTTTGAAAACGTGATCCGGAAACGCTGCGCTTCCGGTGGGCAAGTTGACGGCATCACTGCGATAACGAGGCGCAGCTGCGGTACTTGAAGACGTCTGAGCCGCGGACTGCACAGCAGACTGGGCCGTGAGGCGGTCAGCATCAATGGCTCCGGTGCTTGCGGAGTAAAGAATGGGCTCCACGGCATCGCAGCCATGGCCAGATCCACTAACAGAAGCGGCGAGGATAGGGACCCACGGGTGACCGCCCCCACGGACCGCGACGCTTCCCGGGACCTGGCGGAGCCCCGGGAACTGTCTCTGGAGGAGGTGCTGAAGTCCTACGAGCAGCCCATCAACGAGGAGCAGGCATGGGCGGTGTGCTACCAGTGCTGCAGCGGGCTCAGGGTGCCCCGCCCGCCGGCAGGGAGAGTCAGCCGGGTGAAGGACCCGTCCTCCATCCTCCTCCACAGGGACGGAACCGTATCGTTACAGCGGGAGCAAGGATATGACGGTAGGACAGACGGCCGCGGTTACTCCCAACTTTCCGCTATCTTGATAACTAAAAGCAAGTGCGGAAAAAGTGCACTTTAACAGGATAGACCAGTTGCCAGAAGCAGCATGGCCTTTGCAGGTTTACCTGTGGTTAGTTTTAAATATTAAAACCCACTTTTGAATTCGGCGTAGTTTAATTTCCATTTTTGTAAAATAAATAAATAAATAAATAAATTACCGCTTTTTTTCATCCGCACCGCAATGATTTCTCCCAGTAAACTACTCCGCCTCAGTGAGCAGCGCTTGTGTTTATATCCAGAAGTGTCCTAAAGTGCTCCATGCTTTGTTCACAATAATAACGCGGAACTGAAGAGTGTCTAATATTGTTTCATATAGTATCATTATGTCGTATTTTATCTACCAGGAACACAAATCTAAAGCATTTTGTCCTAAGTTATTCGCATTTAATACAGAGTTTGGCTCACAACGTCTTGCTCAGTAACGGACGCCGCGGTGCTAACCTGTCCCGTCTCAAACAGCATCGATCCCTACACTGCTGACCCTCAGCTGGATTATTTGGTCATTTGCGCAACCCCGAGCTTCACTTACTCAAACTGCCTTTGTGTTTTTATATTTTACACCATCTAGATTTTGTCGCACTACTCGTGCCAGCAAGGATGACTCGTATTATGCCGGTAAATGATAAATTATTCATGGAGCACCGCTTTCCCCTAGCATCTCCTTATGCAAAGACTGTTTTGGAGACATCAAAGGGTGGCTAGAAGCCCAGAGGATTTTAGGCAGCCTTCCTCTTGTCCCCTCCGTGCTGAAATTAGCCCGTACCTGCATAATATCCTGCTGCATGTAAAGTATTTATGTCCTCACTGCAGCTCAAGAGGAGGCTGCACGGAGACACTTAAGTCAAAACTCAATTAATCCGAAAAAAAAGGCAAATTTGTGCTCAAACTTTTTTCACCTCTTACTCCAAAAATCTGATCTTAGGCAATGGCGACACAATATCTCCAGAAATTCATATTTTGTGCTTAAAGTCATGTCTGTAACCTGTTTATTTTGCAATTAGGCAAAATACTGCCAGGATATTTCTTGCCAGCAGCCCTGAGAGAAGATAGACTTTTACATTTTAAAATATGACTGAGAAATGTGGGCAAAAGAAAAGAATATTGTATATCAAATCTCAGGAAAAACTGTGAAATGCTGAGCTCCTTTTTTGATAAAGTCTCCTGGTGAATATACAGTAGCAGCTGTTGTAACAGCTGTTCAGAGATCAAACAGGAAGGGTCTGTGTGCATGTTTGAGGATGGCACTTTGCTTTTCTTTCTGCCATTTGTTCACGTCATATAACATGCTTATTAGTTAATCATGGGTCAGTCATGGTTCTGATGTTTACATGAGAAATGATCATAAAGAAAAAGTAAAGTTAATGTAACCTTTTTAAAAAACACAGCATTAATTTGCATAAAATGGTTACACTGTTTCAAGGAACACCTTTTAAATATGAGCTCATTACACATTACACCATCATCCTGAACTGTGACCTCGATAATAAACATAAAGTAGGATTATGGCTTTTTTATCAGATGTTATGACAGTGCTGTTGGAGTGAACTGCTTTAGATTTAGCAGCTGTCATACAGGTGTGGGGAACGGGCAATCAGCGGAATGTGTCATAAATAACAAATAGCAAGCCAAACCCCTTAAACTGGTTGAAAATTGACTTCTAATGATTGTTACTGTGGACAGATCTTGATGACGAGGCATTAGAAGATGTGACTGCAGTAAAACAATAAGGGAGAAAACTTTTTAAGATAAGATTCCTCCTGTTGCTAATGGAGCTAACAAAATGAAGTGTAGTTACTGTTAAGAGACACGGTTACGAAGCAGATTTCAAACTCCAGGCTGTCAGTCACGCAGTAGAACATCTGCGAAATCTGTCTTTGTTGTTATGCTCAGGGTCTGTTAGTTTACATTTTGACTGCACAATTGTGAGCTTTTTGTTATGCACAAAAACAACATAGTTTTCTTTTATTTATGGAGCATTATTATTTAATAAATGCTGATAATTTATTTTTCAGTAATTTCTTCATGTACATCTACGCCATAGGTGTCAAACTCTGGCCCGCGGACCAAATTTGGACCGCAGCCTAATTACATTTGGCCCGCGAAGCCATACCAAATTACTATTAGAGCTGGCCTACTGGTATTATACAGCTAATATATATATTGTTTAGTATTAAGCTTTGCTTGTTCCATATTAAGTTTTTCAGCAAAACGTGTTTGAGTCCATAAGAAAAGATTCATTCTTATATCTGGAGGAAGATTTTTTTTTTTTCAATAAATATTAATGTTAGCCCGCGACTTTGTTCCAGATTTGAATTTTGGCCCACTGTGTATTTGAGTTTGACACCCCTGATTCTACGCTGTATGTTAATAATAGTGCCTGTGTGACATCTGGGACACAGCCTTGACTAAGAACTCTCTTTTTGTTCTTACCTTACGGCTTAAAAAAATATCGAGATATATATCGTATATCGCCATCCAGCTAAAAAATATCGAGATATGAATTTTGGGTCACATCGCCCAGCCCTATGTCTGACCCATCGTTAGTTTTAAGTTTGATGTTGCAAAGTACAGGATTTGGCAGGCAGTGGACCAAACTACTGATAGGCATATAATGCATTGTTTTACATCTCTAATCTACAATAAGCACATGACTTTTCAATATTGTTATTTAGCATTACACGGTTATATTTACAATAGTTCATTGAGGAGGAAAACTATGTTTTTAATCAGAATAAGGGAATAAGGAGTCTTTTGGCCACCCAATAACTTCCTCTCATTGCTTGACTCATATGACAGTGCAGCTTTTTGGCTTCAGGATAGACCAGCTAATCGAATCTCAAGGTGGGGCTGTTTTAGAAACTAAAGACGACCCGTGGCAACACTAGTCAGTCTAGAAGATTGTTAACTGTTGTTGTGATATGACGCTATAGAAATACAATTAGATAAAATCTATGTCTGCAAAGGACAAAGCTGAAAATCGGTATTGGATATGATCCTTGAGGCCAACGCTGCATCAAAAGCAGGCGTGATTCTGTCATGAAAATCACTGCATCGGCTCATGAACACTTACAGAAATCACTGACCATGAACGTGGTTCACCAAGCTGTGTACAATGCAGGTTAAGTTTCTGCCATGCAAAGAAGAAGCCATATGGGAACATGAAGTGTCTTGTCTGGATCATGTTGTTTAAAATGGACATTCTGCGGTGAGACAAAATTTGAAATTCTCTTTGGAAAACATGGATACCACGTTCTCCAGACTAAAGGGAGAAAGGCCATCCGGCTTGTTATCAACAATCATTTCAAAAGTGCATTAGTGCCTATAGAATTGTCAGCTTGC